ACTCCCAAAATAGCAATGTTTCAGATACTGGCAGAGTTTTATGTCTACCAACTTCTTCAGCATCACTGAATTCCTGATAAGGTTTTTCTCTGAGGAATCCTTTGTATAACTGGATTTCAAGCACCAAGCTTGAGGATTAAAATTTAATTCAATTTGTCAATCTGAGATCTTTTAAGTTTTAAATACAAAAGTAATATTGATTTTATAATTCAGACACAGACACAAATGAGTTAGTGGTACCAATAAATTTTCCCTGAAGTTGATAGAGAATTGGGGGTGGACTTTGTTGATTAAGAGGATAGCTAGAAAATATTGTGTTTAAAATGAGCTAAAAAGTTGAGACCTGTGAATCAAGTCTCCCTGTCTGCTAGGCGGCTGCAGTGTTTTTTTAGTAATTTGATGCCTGATGTTTATCTGTGTGCAAGTTTGTTTTAGAGAAGGTTAAGGTTTAGGATCTTGGGACACTAATAGTCAAACCTCAGGTCTCAACTATTTACAACATGTGTCAATGTCTGACTTAACAGGAACGGGGTGTAGGTTTGTTGATGATACAGAGCTAGGTGGCAAGGTAAGCTGTGAGGGGAATGTAAAGGATTTGCAAAGATAGTTGCCCAGTTCAGTGATTGAACAAGTAGATATCATATGCAGAAAGGTGGGCGTAATTTTGAAACTATCCATTTTGTTAAGAAGGATGGTTGAGCAATTTTCTTTTTAATTGGTGTGAACCTATTAAATGTTAGGATTTAGATATCGCAGCACACACACCACAGAAGGTTAACACACAAGTACCACAAGCTGTTAGGATGTCACAGTACATTAGTTTTTGTTGCAAGAGTGTTGAAGTATAAAAGTATAGGAGTTTTACTCCAATTGTACAGGGGTTTGGTGAATACTGTAGCACCTAGAGTACTATGTATATTAAACGCCTTTACCTGAAGAACATAATTGCCTTTAAAGGAGGTGCAGTGAAGGGGTACTTGATTGATTCTTGGATGATAGTTGTTACAATGAGGTGAGAAGAGGTGAATTTGCTCATGTTTTTCAGCCTCTTCAGTTGGCTGCAATAAAAGTTTAATGGTCTTTTCAGTATGCAGCTATACCTCTTTCTAATTAAAATGTCGTTAACTAGCACACCATGAATAATAAATACCTAATTGAAGTTTCTTTTTAAGTGAAGGAAAGAGGAATTTCATTACTTGCAAACTTTGAGGAAAAGTAATGAAGTTAAAACATCAAATGCACACAAACATGAGTACAGCATAATGCCCAATATAAATGAGACGATACAAGAACATGCAGTTTAAAGTTAAGCGGGTGTGCTGGAGATATAAGATGTTGGCCTGAGATCATGATGGGTTAGCAGTATCCTCAATCAGCAGTAGCTAAAAATATTGCCAGTATTGTTGTTGAGTTGTCTACATTTGGATGTTTCTCTAGTTTGTATTGACAATGGTTGTTTGGTCTTTCCTGAGCAAGATTAGATAGCAAGAGGCTTCTTTCAGTTCTTCTATGAAAAATTCATCTCCTCCACTCTGCCAAAGCAGTTGACAAAACAACCAACACATGTATTTGCTTGTCTGGACTCATTGTTTCTGAACTAGATCATTGTTGGTGACTCCATTTGTCTCCAATATGTGAAACTGATCATAATTCAGAAATAGGAAATGTGAGTTTCTTCATGCCTGACTAGTTTCAATCTATATTGAGGAAAGTGTTGATTTCAGTTGTCAATTTCATTTATCCCACGTTGGTTTTCTGGAGCCTTGCTCAGCCTGTGGTCAGTTGATCACTGAACACTTTAAAGTTGGTGTCTTTCCCATTATAAATGATTTCAGTCCATAGATCTGAGGCCTTAAAATCTGACGATGAAATTCAAAATGTTGGTCCATATTGTTCAGGTGTTATCATTGTGTTTTCTGACAAAAAGGGAGAGTGAAATGCCCCTATATCCTCGAGTCTAGAATGAGTGATGGTTTCATTAAAAAGGCTTGATACCAAGAGATGGTTTCCCAGCAGGGAAACCCTAGAACCAGAAGGTGTAGTCTCAGATTACAATCAAGTGCGCATGCTCCATGCTTTAGTGTATTCAAGATTGGGATTATTAAGGTTTTGCTCATTAGGTCAAGGCTTTGGAAGAAAATAACACAGGAAGTGGAGTTAAATGTTAGCCAAAAAAAACTGCTCAGATATGGAAATTGGAAAAAAAGAAATTGCTGAGAAAATTCAGCAGGTCTGGCAGCAGCTGTGGAGAGAAAGCAGAGTTAACGTTTTGGGTCCAGTGTCCCTCCTTCAGAGTGGAGTTAATACGTGTATTCATTTGTGATCGTATTAAATGGCAGAAGAAGTTTGAGGGGCAATATGATCTTTTCCTGCTCCTTCAATTTTCTTATGATTTGGCATCATTAAACAGGATAACAAAAAATGAATAACTTTTCAAGCAATGTGATGTTGTCTCTTAATTTGCATGGAATCACAGTGTACAGAAGAGGCCTTTCAGTCCATTCAATCTGTACTGATAAATATATACCACTACCTACACTAATCCCACTTTCCTGCAGTAGGCACATAGCACATAGTCACAACACTTCAAGTGCTCATCCAAGTACTTATTTCCTAAAGCTATCACTAACTTCAGTTCAAATGGAAGGTAGTTTGCTAACTCATTAATGCCGCAGCTTGAAAATTAAAATTAAATAAGTACATAAAGGCTGTTTGCCAAGTCTCCTACCAGTGTCAAAATCACCATTCCCTGTATCCTTTCCTGAGTAGAAATGTCAGGGCTGTTCCTTTCAGGATCAGCATAAAACAGAGCTTTGTGGGCAAATTGGGATTTGCTACACAAGAATTCAACAGCTTGATGAACAAAGTTTTTTGACATTTATAGTGTTTGCATGGCTGGTTGGCTGCTTGAGAAGCTTTAAAGACTCATTATTCTGGCTATGTTATGATCCGCTGGTATATTGTTTCATTGCCGCTAACGGAATTGCTCATTCAGAAGTGGCTTATTTCAATGCTCTGCATTCCTGTGATATTTTTACAACCTGTTAAATTGAACCCAACATTGCCAGTTTTTCTGACAACACCAACTGTTTTATCAGCTTTTGAATCTTCATCCTGATGTTCCACAGTGATAGAGACACTTAATGGGAATTGTACACTTTAGCAGGGATAGGGTGTGCACCTACAATGCAGCATTTTTTATTCAAATATATTTTAACCATAAATGTCTGTCATGAGGGGCCATACCACTGCCTTCCAAATTCAGGTAATCTATGGGGTTGGGTGGGGGTTGGAGGGAGGATAATTTTCATTTGGAGTTGGAATGACTACCTAGCTGCATTGGGTTAGCTGCCTATTATACACCCTGTCTAAATTACCTCACCTCCACTTAAATGAACATTACCCATCCTTATTTATGCGCTGGTAAGTAGCACTTGATTGTATTGCCATAAAAGGTAACAGTCTTCATCTGCTAATTCAATGGGCACAAAGCGAGTTGCTAGGCATTATTCTATTAAGAACTGCTTTTCCCGTTTCTCAAAATGCTGAAATTGTAATGATTTAAATAGCTTGTTTATTATGTTCCCTAAATTAGCCCCGTGGAAGTTTCTGATCTGGATTTCTCTAGAGGGGTGAAAGCAGATTATCTGCCAGCAGTACTGAAATTAAATCAGCTGGTGTAACACAGCTATTTTAATCCTGTTGTTTCAAATAGAAAAGATTCAAGCATTAGCTTGGCATGGCCATGTGAGATTCAATTGGCCAATCCACCAATGTAGTGCACTGCACAACCATCTGTACTGGTGTCATTTAAATGAGCCCAACCAACTTGAAACTCTGACCATGAGCAAGGTTCCACCTAGTCTGCTTTTAACTCTTCTGCTGATGACATTAGCTCAAAAATGGTTGGAGTGGTTATAGCACTAGGTTAACATGTCAGGAGAAGCATTTTCTTTGGCTTTTTTGATGACCAAGAACAGCAGAAGCTACTTAAGTACTTTCAGTGGATCTTTTGATTTCCAGCTGACTCTTATTCTTGCAAATGCATTATGCACAACATATGTAAATCATATGCAAATCAGGCAGACAAAAATTCAATGGCGAATACACAATATACTGCAGACCGGAAAACCTAAACCTTACAAATTCCCAAAGTTCACAGAATGCTGCATTTTAGGCAGTAAGTGCATGGGCTGGGTATCTGCTGTGTGTTTGTCTCATTAGATCTCCAACTTTCTTCTATATTAAGTTTGAACACTGAAAGTGTATAAATACTTAGTTAAAAAAAGAATCACAAGTCTCTTTTCTTTTCAAAATGCCACCTCTAGCATCAAGGACCCCAGTACCATCTTCAGCTCGTTCTTTGGAAGGTGGCCGTGATAACCTGGCAATGAACGATATTTCACTAGCTGCGGACATCTATTAATGCATTCCCAACATTCCCAGCATATCCGGAGAGAAACGCCAGTAAATTTTCTATTGCCCATTGATGTCAGTCCATTTCTGGACAAGTCCAAATAGCTTTCTTTGCAGTACTGCTCCTTAGTCACATGACCATCCAGTGCCCAGCGTGACAGATTAAGAAATGAAGCCATATAAGAGGATGTGCAGAATTTGGGACACATTCTAACAGTTATGGAAACAGCTTAGTTTCTTTCTTTAAAAGGAAGTTGTGATGTCCTATAAACTTATTTATAAAAACCATCTGAATTTCCTATGTTAAATAAGGTTTTATTGTGAAACCTGGTTATTGCACACGCTATTTATCTTCCAAGGTTTGGGCATCTTTACTGACCTTAATGGAAATACTGCCAAGACCAAGGGAAAAAATCTTTGTGGTGAGGACCTATCACCTTTTTTTAAGTAGTAAGATTCCACTGTATTTGCATATCCTTTGTAGATATTGTTACCTGCACAAAGCATCTTTAAGTGTAAGCTGGCTGTGCATGTTCATGACTAACATATCTAAAGTACTTGTGTCTCATGTTTGTTTTCTCCAGGCTTCATGGACACGGCCCGTGACTCGAAAGGTATGGCTACTTACTTGTAGCCAAACTCTCTAACTCTTAACAAGCACTAGCACAGAGAGCCAATTTACAAAGTAGTCACTAAAATTAACCGAACTAACCCTTTTGATATACATTATAATGGAGAAGTGATTACTAATGGAGAGCATGTACAAAGTTGAAAGTTTAAGATTTCAGGCGCATATTTGCATTTAAAAGAAAGAGATAATGGAGAAAGACTACTGCTTGATGCCATATATGTCATTTTAGAGATTGAGCATTGAAATCATGTGGTCTATTTTTGATGGGACTGCATGTTTATTAAACCAAGGACTATACTGATTTAATTTTGAAGCTTTTCACTCTAAATGTTTGCATTTGACTACTTTTTAAAAGCATATGCAAACTACTGAGATCAGCAAAATTAATTTAGACCATTTTACTTAATCTGCCTCAGCTCTGTGGTAACGCGTAAGTATATGAAATGTGTGTATATTTATTTGATACAATAAAAATATGATTTGCAAATAATTAACCAATTGTATAAGGCAAAGTTTGCTAATCATTTTCTTCTGTCAGTTTACTGGGTTTTTAAACAATTATTTCATGCAAGTTATACCATATTGTGTAAAAAATGCTATATCTTCACTGTTCAATGGTATTGATAATATAATATATTAAGCAAATTCACATGGTACTTTTAAAACTCAAATTAGAGAAGTAGTTCATAGTCCCCTGGGTCGTATGCATCTCTTGCCAGCTGTAAGGACAGTCCAGATAGTATTCTCAGCATTGTGTCACGTTCTATATATAAATGGCTGTTAAGAGGTGGATATCTGAGAGCAAGGGAGGGTAGTTGGACAACTGATCTGTTTTCTAGCATTCATAGATGTAGGGTCTATGCAGCATTCTCTGCGGTGATGTGGTTGAGGTTATGGAATACACATTCTCATCGCTATCAAGGAATGCTGTCATTCTATTTTTTTTGCTACAACAGTTTGTTGCACTGTGTTGAAGTGCATTGTGGCAATATTTGGAACGTCAAATGTAAAGGCAATTTGAACAGTTTTCTTGTGATGACACCATGAGTCATTTAACACTTTAATATTTTTGTCTAATGCATCTTAATTTTTGAAATAAATGAAGACATTCAATCAGGTATTAGCGGAATGTATCCAAATTTAGCACTTCAACAAACAGCTATCAACAACTTGACCTTTGTCAAATTGCATGGTTTATGAAGGGCTAGTCATGCTTAACACATCTGCTGGAGGTTTTTTGAAGATGAAACTAGTACAATCGATTGGGGAGTATCAGTGAATATGACGTATTTGGATTTTCAGAATGCTTTTGTTGGGGTCCCTCATAAGATGTTAATGAGCAAATTTAAAGTATGTGTGATAGTGGATGGTATATTGGCATGGATCAGGTGTTGGTTGATTCATAGGAAATGGGGGAAACGGATCTTTTCTGAGAGGTGACAGTGACTAGTGATATATCGCAAGGATCAGTGTTTGGGTCCCAGCTGTTCATGATATTCAAAAATGACCTGGATGAGGAAACCAAATGTAACATTTCTAGGTTTGCTGCTGATAAATGAGCAGGATTGAGAGTTGAGGTGGATGTAAGATGCTTCAAGGCAAATTGACGCGTTGAGTGAGTGGACAAACATGGCAGATGCAGTATAATGTGGCTAAGTATGAAAAACAGGAATAGTGTTCTTTAAATGGTGATATATTGGCAAGTGTGGATGTAGAAAGGGATATGGGTGTCCTTGTACACCAGTCAATGAAAGTAGACAGGCGGTGAAGCAAATAATGAGGAGGGCAAGTAATATATTGAACTTCATCGTAAGACGACTTGAATTCAAAGTAGGGATGGCTTGCAGCAGTTTTACAGTGCCTTAGTGAGGGCAGACCTGGAGTATTGCATGCAGTTTTAGCTTCACGATGTAAGAGAGGATACGCTTGTGTAGAGGGAGTGCAGCGGCGTTCACTAGGTTGATATCCGGGATGGTGGGACTGTCCTACGAGGAGAGCTTGATTTGACTGGGCCTGTATTCATGAGAATTTGGAAGGAGAAGAGGGGATCTGACGGGAACATATAAAATTCTAACAACACCAGACAGACTAGATGCAGGATACTTACCTTGGTTGGAGAGTCTGGAATCAAGGGACACGGTCTCAGGATATGCAGTTGGCCATTTAGGACTCAGATGAGGAAAAACATATTCACTCAAAAGGTAAGGAACCTGTGGAATTCTCTCCCACAGAAGGCTGTGGAGACCAAGTAACTGACTGTATTCAAGAATGAGATGGATTTTTTTTTTCAATTTTAAAACTATCAAGTGGTATGGGGAGAAAGTGGGACTATGGCATTGAGATAGAGGATCAGATTCAAAGGACTGAATGTCCTGCTGCTCTTCCTTGTTTGTGTTTGTGTTTACTGCATTTCTTGAATACCTTTTTTTAAACTTACTTTGCACACTTTGTCAAATAATGCTCAGCTGTTGCTTGAAAAGACATAAATGCTTAATAAATATATTTTACTAGATAGTTATAGAGAGGATCATAATGGCTTTCTTCATTCCTTCAACCTTTGCATAAAAGTATAAATTGAAAGGGATGTGGCGGGGGAAAATGGTCAGCAGTAGTTTTCATTTGTGTGATGGTAAAAATTGCTATCATTCTTATACAAACTCTGAGGCTTTCACATTTTTAATTCATTGCATTGATTATGTAGTTATTTTTTAATCCACATTTGTCTTTCTTCAATGTCAGTCCATTATTAACCATTTTCACGCAGATTATCATTTGAGAACTCACTGTCTATCCATCTGAGTCTGTGAAGCTCTTACCATTACTAAGAATTTTTATTATAGTGTATTGCAATATGTTTTCCTGTGAGTAATGCTTTGATTTTCTTATTCATGTGGAGATTGATGTGAATTTTGGATAGAAAATGGCTTCCTTTTAAAAACGCAGCAGCTATACAACAATCCTAACTTGCCTATCAAAACATTGAATTGTTCTATTGCAGTACAAAAAATGTAAATCGATTTAGACATTTTGCAAGATGTAATGTGTCTAGTGTTTAATGTTGCATTGCATCTTTACTATTTAAACAAGGAAATATGTTCCCATGTTTTAAAAAAAAGGCATTAAACAGATTGAAATAAATGTCAAATCAAAGAACTGTTGATAGAACAATTTGAGCTACTGGAGTAGATATATGTTCATAATTTAATTGAATTTACTGCTTACTTGGCTGAATTATCAAGTAGTGACTACTAACGTCTACCTCTTACCAGAACTGTGACATATGCAAATGTAACCTTGTAAACTGAGGTTTAAACTATGCGGAATGCTTTAGTTGAATAAACGGGTTACATAAGATGACATGACAATAAAATTTACTTATTTTTTTGATTCACAGTAAGATGTTTAGAGGAAATATAAGGCAAGTTATTTTCATCAGTGACATCGGTTAGTGTTCTTTTATTTATGCAGCTCAGTGAGCCATGTTATATTTGCTTGAAAAATTGTTCGATGTGTAGGTGGTCTTTTAGTCCAGTACAATGCATATTTTCCCCCATCCTCCTCCAAAACTTGTCTGAGCTAGTTCAAATGTGATCTCTAGAATTTTGGCATTATGCATGGACATAAGGGTGGTTAATTTCATTCAGAAAGGAATACAGTTAAAGAATTGGCCAAGTTTGACGATGTCATCTTAATGTAAGCATCTCTATGTAGAGACACAAGATAGATGTCAGTATCACTCTCATGGGTTAGAACTCTGTACTTAAAGCACTGACACAAAAGGCAAACTACATTGATAGAGCATCATTTGAAATACTTATTGACATTGAATAGAAATGATGAATTATTAAAGAGGCACTCAAGAGAAATGAAGAGTGTCACAGAGGGTAATTTTTAAAAAAGCTATCTTAAAGTGTAACAGTAACAGAGCACATTGACAAAAATCATTTACTTGGAAAAAGTCTAAGACTTTGCTGAGTTCAGTCTGTTGCATTGACAACTTGGATGATTCAAAAACGTTTATTCAATTATATTCAAGCAATATAATATTGGTAAATAATTCACTGCTAATTTTCTTGATATTCGTTTAATTTTAAATGAAATTGGTGGAAACATACCGGATAGAACCTATTGAGGGCCAAATGCATTTTGGCCTTAAGTTTGTATTCTTGGAAACTATCCAAATGAGTGCAAGATGAAAAGCTTCAACTAAATGTCGTTTTTCAGCAATTTTCATACTACCAAGCAACAAATTGTGGGAAGTTATTCCTGCCCAACATTTAGGGCTTTAAAAGCCATCAAGTTTACAAAACATAAAAATCAGACACAAGTAGTATATCTCTTATGCATTTCATCAGCTGGGAACAAAATTATGAAACGAAAGGATATTAGAGAGAGCTTATTTTCTGAATGTTGGCATTGTGCTTCCCTGACATGGAAAGGTAAATGAAATGACATAAAAGTGTAATGTCAGTTGGATATACTAGACAGGTCAGGCCCCATTGATGTGGGAATATAGTTCATGTTTAAGGCTGATGACCTTTCATCAGAATTGAGGAAAGATTGACATGAAATTGGATTTTAACAAGTGAAAGCAGGGACGAAGAAAAATGAACAATAATGGAGTAATTAGGTAGAGGAAAGGAGAAATTAAATAACAAAAAGTTTCATGGTACATATACCAAAGAGTATTGAATGATGTGAAGAAACAAAAAATGTGCCCACTTGAGGTGCAAGTGGCTGAATAGCAGCCATCCAAATACATAACAAAAAGAATTAAGGAAGAAAAGGTGGGAATAAGATTAAGCAGCAATAAAAAAATACAAAATTGGTGCCAGCAGTTATGGTCTGAAACTGTTGAACTCACTGATGAGCCCAGAGGCAGTAAAGTGCCAAACAAGATTCTGTTGCTCAAGCTGTCCATCTGTGAACCAAATCAACAGAAATAGATGGCAAGGCATCTGTTTCTACAGATGGTCTCATCAT